CACCAGCTCTGACACCAGCTGGGGCCTCTAGATAGGCTGCGCTTGGCTGGCCAGACATCCTGACTAGGGGTCAGTTGTTGAATTTATTAAAAGTGACCAGATAAGTTAACATGAAGCAAACAGACAGGACACTTCCTGTTGATTAGGATAAAACACTGATCAGTGGATGGACCCATCAACCCCAGCCAGCCTCATGCGGTCAGTCAAAGGGAAACAAGGGGCCCGGCCAGGGCCCACCCAGCCCAACTCTTGCTCATGATGAGCAAGCAGTTCAGAGGGGCAGCCTCAGAGAAACCCCCAAATGACTGGGAGTGTTTTCTGACACATTATCTGAGCAGCAAGCAGAGGAGTTTGGTGCAGAGCTCACCGGAAACTTGTGTGTGTCTCACTTCTTGCTTGAGCCTCAGCCCCTCTTCTAGTGAAACCTCCTGGCTGGGGTTCCCGAGGTGCCAGGGCTCCCTGCCGGGCCCCACAACCAGCTTCTCCCTCCCACTCACCAGGCATTCTTATCACTCCCCCCCAAACCTCCCCCACCTTGGGTCTTGCTCAAGGGTTTACCTTGTCTGTAAAAAGAGACCACGTGGGGAGAGAAAAACTCCCCACAAATGCCCCAGGGGGTCAGTCCCCAGAGAGTGGGGCTCCTAAAGCGACACACCTTTTTTTTTCTGTTTCTGTTTCTTTCTCTCTCATTCCTATGGGGGCCTACTCCCTGTGGCCACCAGTGTGGTTTGGTTCTGTGGGTCTGTGAGGTGCCCCTCATCCGTGGAGGAAAGCCCCAAGCCCTCTCCAGCTCACTGCCCACCCCCAGTGACCACCGGTTCCCTGCCAGTCCTGTAATCTGAGGTGTGACTAGAGTTGCAGCAGCTGAGGAGCTGGTGAGCGTAGACCCCTAGTGGAGAAGCCCGGGAGGGCCCTGTCTGCTGTGCAACCAGCCCCAAAGCCCAGAGTAAATCCACTACCTCTGACTGGTCCTAAAGCACAGAGTAGATCTGCTCCCTAGGGTTTCCTACTGTCTCATCTTTCTCCTGAGTCTGAAGTGCCCACTTTTTGGTTGGCAGCCTAGTGCTTAACCACTGCACCACCAGGGTTCCTTCCTAGTCCCACAGACTATCCAAAAGCATGACTTGGAATGTATCCTGGGAAAATCCCAAGAGACCCTCACTCGCTCCAACCTTAACTACAGACCTTATTCTTGAAGGTTTATGTGGAATTTGACTAGAAATACATCTCTAAACAGGCCAGTGCCTTGGGGATTAGAGAAGGCATCAGGCAAAGAGGGTTTTTTGTTTTTGTTTTTTAATTAAAACAACAACAAATTGTCCATAAATATCCTGCTGGTTTTAATATCCCTGCATCTCAGACATGTGCTCTGACTGGTGACCACATTGGTCACAGATAAGGGGAAGTGAGGGAAAAACAGCAATGAAGATGCGAGCTAAGCCCTACAACGTTCAATAGACTCCTGTAAACCCGGGTGGAAATCTGGTTGACCAGCAATGTGGCAAGACCTGGGGACTCCTGGGCCCAGAGTCAGTGACATAGCCACAGAGGACTAGAGTGGAGAGTGAAGTGTCCAGCTGATAAGAAGAGAGGGCATATGCATAAGAACACCCACACTTGCAGATAATACCCACTTGACCTGGCTTCAATGGCTGGATCAGAGCTCAACTAGAAAAAGACAGAAGAGGCAAGAAAGAGTAATCTGATACAATTTGATGAACTTGATCTACACCTATGGATGTAGTAGCTCAAAAGAGGGAATGAATCTTTACAGTGAGAATCATTCCCACCCCCTAAATACATAGGGTAGACAGGGATGGACAACTTGGACATTGGCTACCCAAAATGGGGGCGCTACAAAGGCAATAAGTGACTGGCTTACAAGCTTTCAAGAGGGAGCCTAGATCCAAAGGGCGCAGAGGAAGGTAGAATCTCCACTGAGTAGTATCCAATTTGTCTGGGCAGGGCTGATGAAAGGAGATGGGGATAGCACTCATGTGGCACAATACTGATTAATTACTATTAGGATTTACTGTGAGGGTTGGAAATGTAAAGGTAGACGTTTTGTAGCTAAACGAGGGGAGTGGTTGACTTTGCAGTCTAGGAGCGGAGGTCCCATTCAAGGGAGAAGAGTAGAATGCAGGACCCTACCCAGAGAAGCAGTGACACCAGAGATGGAGGCAGAGATGATGACATGGTGAGATGGAGCCTCTAGGAATGTTAGACCCAGAGAGGGAGAGGGGCTGTTTGCTGATGGCCGGGGGGCGGGAGGGAGAAGAGGCAGGCTTGCAGGTTATACCCTTTGGTTGGTTGATGATGCATGGAGGGGATTGTAACCATGGCAATGAAATGATATATGATAGGATGAATGTAAAGCTAATGTTCTCCCATGTAAACTATCACATAATTCACAATAAAACATTTTTTTTTAAATTCCTGCATCTCTGAATTGGGAGAGACAGCCAAGATCACTGGCTGTCACTCCATTTCTGGCTTCCAATCTAGTTAACATCCCATGAAGTCATGTGCTTGCCGGCCTCCAGAGCAGAGGCCCTGCCAGTGTGGAGACTCTTTCTCCACGCCATCTTTTTTTTTTCCTTTAACAAACAGACATTAATTTTCTCACAGTTTATGAAGCTAGAAGTCTGAATTCAGGTACCAGCTACAGGGGAAGGATTACAAATCCTTGCAGATTTCCTTGTGCCTTGGCATCAATCTTCCCTTGGTTCTAGAAGTTTCTCAGAACAGGGATCCCAAGTCCCAGGGATGCACTTCACTCCCTGCTCTTCCTTCATGGTGGTAGTAGGTGTCCCCTGGCTTTTTTTTAAAAAAAGAGTTCTTTCTGATACTAAACCTCAAGGGCAATACAAGCCCAAGTGACTGGTGTAGGGCCCACCCACAGTGTCCTCAGCACAGAAAGTTTGACTGAACAGGTTCTGCAGTGACTTCTGGGGTTCAGAGAAACAACCCATGCCCTGAGTGGCCTGTTGACCCAAGTTGGCTCCTGGGTCCCTTCCCCAGTACTTCTCTGCTCTGGTTTGGGCATCCCAACTCCTGCCATGTCAGCTTTATCTTCTCTCCTCTTTCCCTGGATGAAAGTGAGCCATCCCATTTGAAAGTAGTTCCTAGAACATTTGGCTCATAATCACCAGCTCCTTGGCCAAGCCTTTGCCATGTTCTCTGTTGTCTGAATCACACACATCCCACTACATAAAAAGAACCCTAACTTGTGAGTGTCCCCACAGGGCTCTGGGCTCCCCAGTGAGGACACCTGTCTGCCACTCAAAGTTTCAAGTCCGTCTTGGTTGACCCAACATAATTGAGACCCATCAGCCACTACAAAGGCATTCTATGACTTCGGAGCAGTCCTCTGCCTTGGGCACCTCCCAAAGATTCTTGGTGGAAATGTTGCCGAAGCACAGGACTATTGGCTGTGTCTTGTGGAGGACTGCTGGTTCCAGCATCAAGGCACTGGCTGGGCTGAGGAAGGAGCTGACATGTGCTCTGAGAAGTGGTCTGCAACCTCAGTCTTTCATCCCAGACACTCACAAGGCCATTGTTTGTCTTTGTCCATACAGGTGATGAATATGCATTAACGATAAGAGGTATCCAGACATTAAATGGATTCTTCCTAGAATGTTGCTAGTGCGTTCCCTACCAGCGGCAATTGATGGTAGTATTATAAAAGGGAAATTGTGCATTCAGGCCAAATGATATTTGAACAGAGGGAGGCAGGGTGGTTAGATGTTTATATAGGCTTTGGAGTTGGAGTGGTTTAGGTTCAAATCCTAACTTTGCTGTATATTACCTGTGTGACCTAGAGCAAGTCACCTGCCCTCTCTGATCCCAGAGTTCTCCTTTACTTGCTGGATTGTGAGGGAGACACAGAGGATGTGAGGGAGGTGCCAGACACAGACTGGACTTATTGAAACCTGTGATCATGACTTCTGAGGTCTCTGATGGCTCTAGACACCCTCCTTTAACCCCAACATCCTGATCATGCTTCCTCCTCCTCACTGGGGAGGGTGGCAGATGGGGGTACATGACAGTTGAGGGTAAGCTTTTCCCAAGCCTTGTTCCCCTGCCCCAGGGGCTTTCCCAGGTCTTGTCCCTCTCTCCCCTCTCCACTCCCGTACTCCATCCTTCCCCAGTGGACGTGACTCCCACAGCCTTGCGACTACAGACTAGTATCCCGAAAACCCAGATAAAAGGCAAACACGGTCAGGTCTCTTTTGTCACCATTTGTATCTTTATTTCCAGCTTCCCTTTTGACATAATCAGTGAAACAATTTACTCCGCCCCCCAGTATACCCCCCCCCCCCAGCAACTTTCTAGGCTGCTCTTCTCTATATATTAATTCTTCAATAACATATTTTAATATTTAACTTTAAATACAAAGGAAACAATAAATTACTTCTTGGCTGGGGGCTGATTGCTGGCTTCAGAGGGAGCGTGAGGCCCAGGGCCCAGTGAGGTAGCAGAACGCTGCGCACAGTACTTTCATTCGGGACCCCTAGCACCCACTGCTTAGTGCTGGAGCTCCCCTTTCCCAGGCCCTGGACTCTAAGGTCTGGCAGCACCAGTCCCTCCCTATCCCCAGTATGGACAAACACACTGTTTAAATAACACACAATAATAAATAAGACCAAGAAGAAATGTGCCTGAGCTGCTCTTTGCTCCAGGTACTCCTGTATGGTGTGGCTCCCTCTCCCACTACGTAACTGGCACTATAATGCCACGTTTTGCTCTAAGGAAAGGGAGGGTGGGTAGGGAGATAATGTCTCCTCTGCCCGGGCAGAGGAGACCCACTTGGTTGAGCTGTTGGTACCAAAGAAAAAGCAGCTGCAGGCTGAGATCTAACTAAAGAAATTCTACCCACCTTCCCTCTTCTAGCCCTCCCCCCACCCCCAGTACATTTTTGACATCTGCAAGAAACATGAATCTGCAACTTAAATAGTCATGGTCTGTTTCTGCAAATAATGCCTCGAGCTTTTCATGCATCAGTTATGACGTTCATGGCGGTAGATGCTCCTTAAATGTTCAAGCAGGTTCTTTAAGAATGGGATCAGTTCGATTTTGGTGTCTCGGATTTGCAAGCTGGAAACCTGCAGCATGACAAAGAGGTCAGCATGTTAATAGGATGCGAGTAGTAAGGATGAGGGGTAACATCTGCCAGGGGTTTTCCAGACCGGCTCATTTAACCATCACAGAGCCCCACATTTCACAAACCATGGAAGCAGACTCAGGGAGCAGTTAGGAGGCCTTTCAGCTCAGAGCCTGTAAATTCCACAGGCCATGTACTTGCCACCACAGTGACCCACCCCTGAGTTGGTACATGCCTCTGGTGCTTGACCAGGGTCCCCCATTGCTGCCAGGGCTGAGGAAGAGGCCGAGGCTGGCAGAAGAGAGCGTAGGGCAGGGCCTGGGGGAAGACTCACACTGGCTGGGGGCTTGTATTGTGTGCAGGCACTACTCAATATCCTCTTGGTATTCCGGATGGTGCTACAGTTAGAGACGTTGCTTAGGGCATCCATTGCTGCACAGTACTGTAGGGAAGAGGTCACCGAGAAGTCAGGTCCAGCCCAGTGGTTCAGGAGGGCTGCCCGCAGTGAGTATACAGGAAGAGGGGGTTTAAGTGGTGAAAAGGACCCAGATTATAAGACAGAAGGTAGCACTTGAAGCTTTCTTGGAACCCCCAGTGGTGTGAGTGAGGCTTAGAGAAGATAGACCCAAGGTCTACAGCCACTGATCCCTCCCTTGTCTCTCCTCCAGCGACCAGGGGTCCTTACCACATTGCCTGTCAGATTGACGCTCCACACCATGCTGCCACTGCACTTGGTTGCCTGAGGAAGCAAAAAGACAGTAAGCAGGGAGCTGGTGGTGGTCCTAGCCACCCTGAGATAGCCCAGGCCAGGTGTCTGAAAGAATCAGCATCCACCAGCATGTTTATGATAGCACAGGGCAGGCCTGGCAGCCCCCGTACCCCCCAACTTTGTTCCGGCTCTGCATCCTTGGGGAGACCCATCATGCAGGGTCTTGAAGCTGAGAGAGAAAACTGGTGAAGGGACAAGCCTTGTGCAAAGCTACCCAGGGCTGAGGAAAAATGACAGAAGACATGAGGTCTACCAGTTAGGGCCTGCAAGGAAGGAAATCTCGAGGGTATCTTGTGAGAAGAGGTGGTCTGGGCTGCTAGTGGCCTGGACACAGCAGATAGGAGGTGTGGGCCTGGGGTATAAACACCCTGCCTTTTGGATTGAGGAATACAGCAGTTGGGGGCATGGACATGATGGTCAGCTTGGTTTGAATCTGATCTCTGTCATTTACAGACCCTATGTCTATCAGCAGTCACGTCACCGCCCTGAGCCTTAGTCAGTAAAATGGGGTCATCGTGCATGCTTATGAGGCTGTCTGCAGCAGTGAAACGAGGTATTAGATTGCCAACAATGGCCTGGCTCATAATATGTGCTCAGAAAGTGTGAGCTGTTACTAGTGACCGGAGGAGTTGTCTCTAATAATGAATCCTTCCATAAGAATGGAGTTAACTGAGATGCTGTGAATAATGATCCCATTGTTGTTGTTGAGTATCATGGAGTCGGTTCCGACTCATAGCGACCCTGTACAGGGTTTCCACGTCTGTAAATCTTTACGGGAGCAGAATGCCACATCTTTCTCCTGTGGAATCGCTGGTAGTTCCGAACTGCTGACCTTGAGGTTGGCAGCCCGACTCGTAACCACTATACTACCAGAACTCCTTAACGATCCCATTATTGCATTCTAATTCTAGTTGGCAAAAGCCTAATAGTTCTGGGACATGCTGGTCCTTCTGGGCCTCTCTCTGCTCCAGAATGCTTGAGCAGCAGGTGGTCCCTGGAGGCTCTGTTGGGGGCTCCATTAAGCCTCTTCACAGTTCCAGCCACCTTCCTATTCATCAACCCATCCTTTCTCTGTCTGGTCCATGGGGTTTTTTCCTAACCCACAGGCAGCCTCCGTTTAAACCCACCACTCTTCCTAGGAGTCACCCCAGCTCAACAGCCTTAGGACTGGAGCCTTGACTGGTGCACACTCACCTTCAGTGTGATGTTCAGCTCATCCATGAGCTCCTGGAGGACCTTGGTTCGATGCATCATGGGGGCTGGGATGACTAGGTGACTGCCAAGGCAGGTGAGAGCAATGACCATAACCAACCAGTACGCCATGGGGCCCAGAGCTAACAGCAGAGCAGTGAGGAGTAGACACACGAGCAGGCCTAAGCTGAGCGGCTGTGGCTTTGGCCTCTGGTGGCAGCTTTTATAGGCCCAAGGGGTGACGCTTCACACTCTGGTCTGTGCTTTGTCAGGTATTATCTATAAACCACATCTTTACTCATCTTGATTTTGTTTTGTGGAAAATCCATTGTCACATAAAGGAAAGATCTGATTTCTTGTGGACTTGAGGGGGGCCTCGGCAGAGTTTCCAATATCTGGATGGGCTCCCTCTAGGGGGTGGGCAAGAGGATCCTGAGGGGGTCTGGTGGCAGTGGTGCCAGCTTGAGTGCCAGCAGTTTTGTCTAGTTACCATCTGGAGCACCTGACCAGCAGACCCCTTGGGGTCACCGGAAGTGCTGTGATTACAGTACATCAACAGTGGGAATTTGGTGGGTTTATATTTACAATGAACTTGTTGTGTAAATTACCAAAGTAATAATATATGCTTTCGATAAAATATTAAAACAGGACAAAAGGAGATGAATACTGTTCCCTGCTATGGCCCACTTGGTTCCTCCCGGCTCTACCGTGGGAAGAAGTATAAATGCTCAGATTTCCCGTAGGCTTCCGAGCTCCTCCTGGACCTTCCCTGTGTCACGTCGCCTGGATGATGACTGTGAGCATGGGCAGCCTGGACACCGGGGGAGCCTCCTAGGCCTCCAGCCATGAGCTACCCTGCTGGAAATCCCATACTGGGCCAGCTAGCTTCTGCTAGCTGTTCCCAGTGCCCCTGGAACTCCACCAGCTTTGCCCACTAGTCCCTGCCACAGTGAGATGAGAGCTGTGGAGGACAGCTCCGGGGCCATCTTGGCTTCAGGTCCCTCTGAAGGGATGCAGCATTTTCCTGCTCTTTCCTCGTTGTCCTGGTTGTTGTTGTTGCTGTTAAGTGCCTTGGAGTCGGTTCCGACTCATAGCAGCTGGTGGATTTGAGCCACTGACCTTGTGGTTAGCAGTCCAGTGCTTATCCTACAGTGTCACAAACCCCAAAATTGAGGCAGAAGCATTTGTCTATTGGGTGCTGATGTCAAGCTCTCTCCCTCACCCACTTTCTCCTCCAAGTCCAGCCCCTACCTCTCCAGGCCCTCTCTCCCAGTGGGCAGTGGCTTCATTCCATACAGTAGCTCATGGGATCCCGCCCCTCCCTGTGGACCTCCACCCATACTAGACCATGTAGAATCCTTAGTAATGTCTATTATTAATTTTCATCATACTGATGATCATATGAGAAAAAAGTGTAAATTGCTTAAATGTAATGTTTCTTAGATTATATCAATTGTTGTTAGGTGCTATGGACTCGGTACTGACTCATAGCAACCCTATCTATGTACAACAGAATAAAACACTGCCTGGTTCTGCATCAACCACACAATCACTGTTACTATTGAGCCCGTTGCAGATGCCTCTGATTATATCAATATTAACAACAAGCTTACTTAGTAAAAAATTTAAAAACTGAATTATTAGTTGCATTATTAGTAACTGAGCAGAGAGCATTTCTTGATTTTTTTCCCCTTTACTACATTCTCAAAAAGTTATTGACATAGGTTTACAAATGCTAATCATCACAATACAATAGCTTGTGGTGGTTGTGCTGGCGAGTCGATTCTGACCCATAGTGACCCTGTATAGGGTTTCCAAGAGCAGTTGGTGAGCTTGAACCACTGACCTTACAGTTCAAACGACTTTGCAGTCTGACGCATTAGCCCACAGCACCATACCAGGGCGCCAGAAAATTTGGCAAAATCAGCAATTTTTTTTTTTTTTTAAATCACCAACAGCAAGGAAAACAACAGCCTGTGCTTATAGCAGGGGTAGAGAACCCACCACATTATTTGAATTTAGGAATTGGGTGATAATAGCAGCTCTGACCAGAGCACATTGTTGTTGTTAAGTGCCATGGAGTTGAGTTCCGACTCAAGGTTCAAAAGTAAATTGACATAGTTTTAGCCTTGTAGGTACTAAGGACCTCTGGTAGCGTAGTGGTTACAAATCGGGCTGCGAACCTAAAGGTCAGTGGTTCGAAACTACCAGCTGCTCCGTGGGAGAAAGATGAGGATTTCTACTCCCGTAAGGATTTACACCCTCGGAAACCCTGTACGGGGTCGCTATGGGTCGGAACCGACTGGACGGCACGTAACAACAACAGGTACTATATTGATACAGTAAGCTGTACTAATGAAAAATTGCTTTGGTTGTAATTATAGGAGTATTTTTATAAAAAATAAATATATGCTGAACCACTGCACACAAATTTTATAGACAGTCATTTTGGTGCCACCCCCTCTAACAGTGTCTTCTTCCAAGGGATGAGGGTCTACGTGGAATCTTCCAAGCCTCGGGTCCACCCTTCTCCTCAGGTTCGCGCAGCACCTTGTTGTCTGGCTGTGCCCACGTCTCAGCCCGTGGCTGCCACGGACTACCAGTGCCTGGAATGTCTGTCACTGCTTGGCTGGGGGAATCTCTCTGAGGGCCTCAGCTTATTCATCTGTAGCACCTAGGCCATTGTATGCCCAAAGAGGTCAGCGTGGTGGCGGAAACACAGGGAACCAGCAGGAGCTGCGCGAGGCCCAGACCCCCGCGTGGGGATGAGTCAACATCCCTCCCCCACGACCAGCAAAGCCTTGGCGGGCAGCGATGGGCAGGCGCGCCCCCGTGCGTGGGAGAAGGCGCGCTGGCTCCGCGGTCTGTGATACCCGGGGAGATAGTGGGGGAGGCCTTATGTAACTGTGGCTTTCCGTAACGGGAGATGGGCAGATAGCGGACTTGCGCGGCTTGGTCTACTCCGCGGCCTGGGGCGGCGGACGGCGACGGGGGGTGGTCGAGCTCCTGGACTGGGCTGGCCACGTGGGCCCCGCTGCGCCCGGAGCTCCTGGGAAGCACCGTCGAAGGGAGGTCAGTGGGGTGCGCCCGGAGGGCAGCGGCGTTCCCAGGGCGAAGGAACCTGCTGGGAGGCAGTCAGCCTTCCGTCTTGCACTTCTCTTGCCACTGGGGGGCGTCGCGCCGCGCCGTCAGAACTAGGGTCTCTTTGTTCCGCTCCAGCCCACAGGAAAATAAGGCCAGGCCCTCAGCTCTGGGATTCAACAAGCTCGTTGCAACATCAACAAAAATCAAGAAAGCTTGTTTGTCAGAGGGACCCCATTCATAATTCACATAATTATAATTAACATGCACAAAAGCCTTGCTCCTGGCATTGACAACAGGTGGCTTGCAATTCTCTTAAAATTAAGGCGTGGGTCACCCTTTCAGTCTTACAGGTGGGGAACCGGACTATGAAGCGTTTAACTAATTCTATACCTCGGAGTGATTTCAAGGGAAATTTATAATTTTGGGGATGCAGTGAAACCAGTGCTTGCCACCTTTTCCTTATTTGCTTATATCAGTATGTTGTCATTGTGAAGTTCCGTCCAGTCGGTTCTGACTCATAGCGACTCTGTATAGGTTTACTAGGAGGGGCTAGTGACTTTGAACCACCGGCTTTGTGGTTCAAACCGACCTTGCTGTCTAGTGCTTTACCCAACAGCATGGGCTAACAAATATGTTCCAATGCATGGATTATAATCCAATGTTACCTTTATTTAGTTACC